TATTCTGCCTTTCTGTGTGGAGTTTGGCTCTTCTCTCCTGTGTCTGCATGGGTTCTCTGGCTTCCTCCTATAGTCCATAGGACTATGCAGTTAGTGGGGTTAGGTTAACTGGTGATTCTAAACTGCCCATAAGTGTAAATAGTTATCTGTCTCCATGTGTTAGCCTGGTAACCTGTCCCAGAACCCTGCCTCTTGCCCTATGGCAACTAGGTTAAAATACTGCACATGACATTTACAGTGATTTCTGTATACTGTATTAAGATAAGGTCAAACTCATAGGAAAAGAAACAACAGTACACTCTCAGATACTGTTTTATAATTTTTAGTTTTGGCTGACTGTGCTCACAATCGAAAAAGTTCAAGGAAAAATAAATGAAAGAAAATAGTGTTAAAGCAAACCTTTATTATTCAAGTAGGTAATTCTCACATAGATGTACAACTAGGAATTTAAACTGAAAAAAAAAAAACGGCTTAAATAACTGTGAGACCAGATGGTATTTCTAATCTTCCCTGGCCTAAAAACCTTACAATTACAACTATTTAGCCTGTTTTATCGCCTAGCCTGTAGTTGCTCTTTATCGCCGATAGACGGCGCCCTCCAGTCGCCCGTAGGTCGGTCTGTCGGTCGGCGTCCATCCAGCGGTGGCGGCAGCAGCGGCAAAGTGGGCGGACCGGGTGAGAGACTACACATGAGCAGCTCAGTGAATCCGGTGTACGCGCTATAGTACGGAGGCTTCAGCTGGCAGCTGTTTCACATTTTTATGGCACGTGAACACGGTACCGCCCTCACTAACATCTGGAGCTCGCGCTTAACAGGGAGACCACTCTTCCTTGTGGCCGCGTGATGAGGCAGGTAGAACTTATGTAGGGCAGTGAGCGTTTCACCGGCGGGGACCCCTCTGTGCTGTACTCGGCAGAAGGAACCGGCCTCATCTTGAAGGTAGGTGGGAATAACGTCGCCTGTCATAGCGGACATCGTCGCTGCTTGAGCCGGCTGCTCAGTGAATACACACCGTGTAGTATTTGTAAGGCGGGAGCTGAGCTGTCAGCATCTCACTCGTGGTGCAGGTACGCTGTGTTTTAACTGCTTTGCAGCACACGGGCTCTCTGGGTGGGGTCTCCCGAGGCTCACACCAAACACCCATTGGTGGCACTGTGCGTTCATGCTTGTTGTGTGTGTGTGTGTGTGTACTAAGGGAGTTTAACACATCTGGACTGTCCTTTAAACCTTGTGAATTAAAACTCCACGCTGTTGTGTAGCAAATGTGTGTGACACATACCTTGGTCTGTCAAATGGGTGGAAGTCCAAGACATAAGGACCATCAGCGGGTCTAATGAGGTATGAAAGAGAGAAAGGGAAAGTCAGACTAAGGCAGACCTTGTTACCCACTGGCAAAATATCTTAATATGTTGTCTACTCTTAAATGATATAGTAAGTCAAGGCAGGGTTGGATGATTCACACACACAAACAGACACACACACGCTAGGGCACTTGCAGGTTTTTAAGAGTGATGAATTGATTTCAGAGTGCTGCAGGCTCGTCTGTTGCTGAGATGAAGGGGACTGCTAGAGTTGCTGGCTGTGCAGGAATCCCACAGAGACAATTAAACCACTGACCCGTGTCATCAAGGATTTGTTTTGCCTTCCTGTTCGGAAACGTGGTAGGGAGCTGACTTTTTGGGCCAGATGGCAGGAGCATACACTTGCACACACACTTGTGAAGCGCGCGCACACACACACATCACCTGGCACAGCTGTACAAAACTCCCTACTTAGGGACACAGCAGTTTTGGTCAGGGTTAAAACCTGCGATCTCAGTGATGACTTAATGGAGTGTGGCAAAAACAAATTCATTGCTCAGCTGTCACAAACGCACGTTTCGTTAAGATTCTGTTCTTTCAGCTGTAACTGTGTTGTGTTGTATGTTAGTAGTACCTGATGCTCTTTATTTTGGAGGGGAATGGATCTGGCAGTGAATTTGGACATACAACGAAGTATTTTATGAAAAATGTCTAGATTTATACCACTTCTAAACAAGTAAACCTGCTGTTTTCTATGATTTTCTGAACTGTTGATACAAGGCAGGCTGGATCGATGCTGTTGTGTTGTTTACACCAAACTCTGACGCTACCATCCGAGTGCTGCAGCAGAAATCGTGACTTATCAGACCAACCAACGTTTTTTCAGTCATAACTTGCCCAATTATTGTGAATCTTATCCTCAGTTTTCCATTCTTAGCTGACAGGAGTGACATCTGGTGTGGTCTTCCGCTGCTGTAGCCCATCTACTTTAAGGTTCGGCATTTTGCGTGTTCAGAGATGCTCTTCTGCATGCCTCAGGTTAAAAGAGTGGTTATCTGACTTCCTGCTGTCTTCCTGTGAGCTCTGACCTCTGACATCAACAAGGCTGCTCACTGGATATTTTCACTTTTTCAGGCCATCATTGGTTCGATGGTTGTGCAGGAAACCCCCCGAAAGATCAGCAGTTTCTGAAATACTCGGACCGTCTGGCACTAAAGCCAACTAACAAACCTTCCTTCTCAATTCTGATGTTCAGTTTGAACTTCAGCTGGTCGTCTTGACCAAGTACGCCTTAATGCACTGAGATGGTGGCGTGTGATTGGCTGCTTAGATGTTTGAGTTGAACAGGCATATCAAAGAGAGTGGTTGGGGATTGTACATATCATTTGATCTTTAAAATATAATAATCAAAACAAACTAACATTTCTAAAGTGAAAAACATTCAATTTCTCACGTTAAAGGAAATATATGAACTTTTAAACTTTGCTTTAAATTGCTGTTATTACAGATCCTTTCATCACTCTACAACTCTGTTATAAATACACGTGGAAAAGCAGCTCATGGTGTCATAAATCACCTCTGCTGTGAAGTCCTGATTATGATGGTGGCCCTAAATTAGAACTGAGAGTGCCTAATTTAACCTGATGACAAAAGTACGACAGCACACATGCACCCAAAGCGCTAAACAGGAAGCCAACAGCGTAACCTTGATGTAAAACGGTAGGCATCTGTAAAGCATGAAGACGTTTCGCAGGTGTGTCTTTGTCTCTTGCCTGGGCGCACTGAGGTTGCCGCATCGAGCTTGTTTGAACAAGTTAGACATAAAAGCGACGGTGACAATAGCAGGTTTATTTCTGGGCCGCTGCTCTCACAAGTGAAATGCACCTTCATGTTTATACTGAGCCCTCTCCGCTGGGTGCACCAGGGTGGAAAACTGCGTTGGTTTTACAGGAGCCCTCAAGCATTTTCTACAACTCATTTTTCATGGCATCTTGCCCAGGAGTGGATCATCTCTAGTGCCTACAAGCCATACTCTACATTTTTCATGTGATTTATGCAACTACTTGTTATCGGGCAACTAGTTCATTCATGTAGGAAATGCCGGTAAATAGGTTTGCGCAAATTTGAATGGGAGGTGTTGTTGTTCCTTTGGTCGTCCGTTTTTTAAAAGACATTTTTTCTAAAGGCGTGTTTTTACAAAAGGAGGTTAAATTGATCAAATAACTGCAAAAGAAGCAACATTCTCCCCAGCCTTAGTGACAATTTCAGTTTAGGAGTATTTAAACAATGGTTTACTGATGCTAAACTAACTCAGTGAAAGTGTAATCTTTCTTCTCAAGAAACCCTCCAACTAAATGGTTGTGTTGGCGATTTGTGCCTGTCATATCAGCTGGCTGCTGCAGGCAACCCTGGCCAGTCTGCAGTCTAAGTGGCAGACACACACAAACTCTTGACTTCTGATCAACAGACTGGAGTTCAAGCTTTGTCTTGGCTGCTTTTATGTTTTGCTTTCACTCGTGGTTTGGTTAGGGTTTGGCACAAAACCTATTTGGTTATCGTTCAGGAAAACCCCCAGTTTGGGTTAACTACATGCAGTTTTTTCCACACAACATAAAAAAAAAAAAATCAGGGTGGAAAATAAGTATTTGGTCAATAACAAAAATACAACTCAATACTTTGTAACATAACCTTTGTTGGCAATAACAGAGGTTGAAGTGTACCTCTGGTGCAAATTACTGACCTCTGTCATCATTTTAAGTGGGGGAACTTGCACAATCGGTGGCTGACTAAATACTTTTTTGCCCCACTGTAGCTGCAGAGCAGAACAAGGTTTACTTTAAAAAGGTAGACTTAAAGTCTCCTCTCTCTGTGCCGGGGCAGCTGACGATCTCTGTTATTCTTGTGCACTTCCGTTTGTGTGCCCGCCCGTGCACATGCAATTGCATACTGGCACTAACACTTGCTAAAAACCTCCATTGCCATTCTTGCCTTTCCAGGATGCTGTTACATCTAAAAATGACAACAGCACAGCACATGATTTACATGCACGTGTACCACACAAATTACCTATGTGTTTTTCTGGAAGAGGAAAGTCTGAGGCATCGGCAGATTAGCTCAAAATCTGTAGTGAAGCCAGGTAAAAGGTGTGAATCCTCTAGCCATCTTTAACAAGTCCAACATGAGTTAACTCATACTTTTGGGTAGATAGTGTCCACAGCAATGTGAGATTTGTCTGATTGTTTGGTAACAGTCTGGTGCTGGCTGCATAAAAAAGTTTGTTTTTACAGTCACGTCTTAGTCAGAGTGTGCAGAGGGGCAGCAGACCGCGGCTGCCTTTCCTGGCTGGCAACAAATTCAGACCTCCAGCTGTAGCATGAATGATTAGCAGTGCGATGACATGACTTTCCTAAATGTGCACTAACAGGTAATGGTTAAATAATTGAGTATGTGCAGCTTGTTTTACCCTGCATCCACCCCCACCCCCCGGAAGAAACAAATGATCAAGATTTGAGCTGATCTGCACAGATCTGGACAGGGATTTCTCTAATCCTCTCTCTCCATTATTGTGTCTCTTCCTCTTTTTTCTTTTTTTCCTGTCACTACATGGTGCTTGCGCTTTCATTTTTTTCCTCAGATAAGATCAGACAGGTGCTTTCAGTGCACCATGCAAGTAGTGACAGATAGTAAAAAAAAGGTGTTCACATTCATATGTGTGTTCTTTTTATTTACTGTAAGCAATAAATAGAGAGAAACCTCTGCACTCTGACATAAGTATGCATTTTTAGTTTGATTTGAATATTCTCTAAAGTTTCCTCGATCATTCAAGTCTCGCGTAAAAATAAACATCAGCTGTTGGAATTGTGACTCCATAAAGTCGATGAAGTACCGTGCTTCATCAGTGTAAGTGCGGACATGCAGGTCACGGAACAGTCATGAGTGGATCAGTGTGATAAGTGTGTGATGGGGTGATGACCGATGGGCAGATGTGCAGTCTTGCAGTTACTGTGACACATTTGTTTCAGGATGAGTTGGGTGGGAGCTGCATAAACAGATTTCCCGAGTGTATGTTAAGTCTTTGAAGAGTAGACGTGCAGTGGGTGTGCAGTGATACCGGAGGGACAATACCTTACTTCGATATTAAAAGTGAAAGAGATGGCGCTCCAAGTATCCTGAATCAAATATTTACGAGAGTTCTGGAATGACAAAGGCGGCGGTTGCCTTGCCTCTGCCTCCAAAGAAGCAATAAACAGACAAACAGGGAAAGACGTGAGGCACATGTGCTTGTTAGCATAAATGCAGGTAAGTCTACTTATTGTTTTTCTTGGCTTACTAAATCTATAATCTGAATTACCACGGCATTTGCTCAAGAGCTCTGGAATGCACCGGGGGTGTTGTTCATGTCAACACTATGGAACAAGCTTTGTTTTTTTCTCAGTAATAATCCTTTGTAATTCTACTCAAGCAGTTTTATTGGAAAAGTTAAGACTTTCTCTCCATTCATTTAGATAATAATTGCTCAGAGGTGCTACCAGAATGGTTGCCTAATGGTGAGACTTGCTTCTACATGGATTAAAATGAACAGCTAGCAGTGTACCCACTATGGAGGTCTTTCAGTTGGTACCAAAATTAAACCTGTGT